ATTTCTGAAATGAAATGCACACGACTTCATTCATACAACCGAACAACTATCCAAACGTTTCAGTTTGAAAGCAGGTAACGGTTTGACTCCAAGTCTATCAGCAACAATAGAGTCACGTGACCGTGAAAATTCAGTAAAACTACGGATGAGACAAACCTCATTTTTACTCACTAAAATACCACTGTCATGATAAAAACTTATTGATCAAAATAATCTTGAATATACATAGTTTTAACGCGTCAAAACTTACACATGAACTCAAAGTCCTTCATTCTTTATTTTATCTTCAAACTTGAAGTTTGTGTGAAAATTGTCTGGTCTCCTGATTAAAAAATCTAAATATTTTCGAGGAAACTAAAAATGATTGGCTGAATTTAAATTTAATGAAGCATCTCATTACGACAAGCACTCGATATGAATATCTAGGCAATAGAGTTTTGGATACGCAAACGTCAAGTTATTTTCAACACGAAGCGGTGTTTTTTTTGCCGATTTGTGCAAGTGGTTATCTCCCCTTGATATCACCAGTCAAAAACATTCGTCACAACTCGGCCGATTCCGTACCTCATGATAGAAGGAGATTAGCGGAGTTACCCGAGGATTGCCGATTGCAGTCAAAAATAAAAACCCAGCAAAATGAATAAAAAGGAGTTTACAAAAATCAAGAAGAAAATAAACTATGTTATTATAATATTAAGAAGAGATACTTCTCTACTTTTCAGAGAAGGATTAGAGGTGAAAATTAAGACCAAAAAAATGGTAAAAATTAAAAGTCACCTAGAAACCTAGCTGAATTAATATAAATTAGCTCTGGCTGATGAAATTTACTTTGTAATTTTTATAATGGGATATGGAATCACTCCAAGTAGAATTTTTTTTTTAAATACTTCTAACAGTGTTTAATGCAATAAAACATATTTTATACAATTTAAATAATCTTTCTGAAATAAAAATAATAAATAGTACTGATCATATATATTTTATATTCTAAAAAGTGGGACCAAGAGTCACAATAAGTTTCTTCAAAGTAAAAAAGCCTTTTAACTCAAGCCTATGTTTCTTAGTTGAACAATACAGTACTGCCAAGATAATATCCTACAAAAAAGGATAAGTATACCAAAAATATTGATAGAAATTCTGTAAAAAATAATACTTAAAATTATAAGTGACATAATTTTGAATTTTAAAATCATTATTACTGTAAAATTCAATTATTAGATTAGCTAGCACAGCTAGTAGCCCTTGCCAAATTTCTCAGGGTATTTCATAGTATAGATTATGAAAGTAAACTTTTTTGAAAAAAAACAAACAAAATGGGGCTTCTATTCTTCAGGTTGAGGTATCAGCTGATATACATATTTATAAACAAAGTCAAAGTATTGTATATTTTACCTTAATGATTGGATATTTATATCAGAAATGAAAGTTGGTTGGACAAATCTTGTGTCTTTTACTAAATGATCAATGGATTGTTAAATTTATCAAGAATTTGCCATTTGAATAAATTCAATTTTGTAAGAAAACATCTCTTTGAATTTTTCTTCTTTGACTTGATAAGCTAGTTTTTGCACTTATTACTGTAGCTTATTTAGTAAAGAGATAATCAAATAATCAAGGTTTTTAACTTATAGATATAATTAACTGACCTTCTATTCATTTCCTTTTTCATATGTTTTTTCCTCCAGAAATTTTCTTTACATGGCATTTTTCATTGCTATTTTTTGTGCTTTTGTCCATCCATAGGCCATCATTAATTTGTCAGATTTGTATCCAGTATGAATGAAATTTTCCAAGACGTACAGTTTCAAACGCAATAAAAATGATCTTTATTTCACTTTTCCAATGTGTAAATTTTCACTATGCACATGACCCTGACACATTTTGTTAACGTTATATGACGTGTGTTGAAAAAAAAAAACCAATGTCACCGTCAATTTGTGTAGGGGATCAAGAAGGGTTTAAGTTACTTTGAAATGGAAGTATCGTATGGAATTGTGAAAAACAACAATTTTTAATCACAATTTCATTCATATCTCTAATAAAATCAGTATTTTAGAGTACTTTGGAAACAGGTCCAATGAAAAGAAGTTGAACATTCACTGTTTTAAACAAGAAACGCAGCAAAAACCAGCTACAAATTGACATGACTGGTGGTCACTAAAATTGATGTATTACAGTAAAAAATGATGGCTTCATAATTGTGTAGAAATTTGAAATAGGTTACCCGGTTTCATTTACGATTTTTATCGTTCTTTTCCGTATTTGGATACGCAAACGTCAAGTTATTTAAATTCGATGTTTTTGGCGAACAAAAAAGATGGCTGATAATTTTTAGAACGGACAGGATAAAGAAATAGCAAATAAAAGTTATTTTGGACGATGTTTCTATATCGTATTGAAACGATATTGCTCACAAAACCTACAAACTTTAAAAATCAATTATAATAAAAGCATGACAAGTTGAAAAAAATAGTTTAAACGTCGATTTTTTAGCTGATTGATTTGGTGGACTTTTTGTCGTCACCGACGACTGTAGCGCCACCTAATTATTTCCCCTGCTATTGTTGCTGATAGAGCTTGACGACAACGGACGTTTCTAAGGACTTGCTTTCCAACTGGTTTTGTACGCGGAAAGTAGTTTTACTTACTATTTCATTTTACTTCATATTCTCAACCAAAATATCAATAACCACATATAGAATAATGGCATTTTTGTTTTTGATACTGACTTTATCAGCAAGAATATCAAGCGAGCCCGGTAGGTTATCTGTTGCCATGATAACTCATCAATGTTTAATCTTATTCTACTTTCTTAACACATTTTATATATATGTAAAAGCACTTGATCGGATTTTTTTCGACTAATATAGTTTATAAGTATCATACAGTTAAGACAAATTGCCGATATAAAGAATAATGGCATTTTTTTTTTGATACTGACTTCATCATTTCGAATATCAACTCGCCCTACCGGGCTCGCTTGATATTCTTTCTGATAAAGTCAGTATCAAAATCAAAAATTCCATTATTCTATATGTAGACCTACAAGCTTCAATACCGACTGAATTAAAATCCAGAATGTTCTCGTTGACTGGTTTGATAATCGTAATTGGTATGCAGTTCACTAAATTATTTGCCCTAGGGAAACTTTATTTCTTGTCAAGTTATCTGACATTTATTTTGATGTGCCACATAGTTTGTATTGTTTCTGTATTTTGCAATGAGATTGTCGGGCAATTATGTTAAAGCACGTGATCGGATTTCTTCGACTAATATAGTTTATAAGTATAAAATATTTAGATATGTTATGATTGCCAATGAGACAACTGCACAACTGTATCCAACAGAGTAAAAATGAAGCGGTTTTAAGTAACTAATGTCACCGTATGGCCCATTTTATCCAAAATATAATCGCCAATTTAAAGGTAGCCATACGTGATCATAATTTTGTACTACCATTTATTAAGGTAAAATGTGTTAAGAAAGTAAAATAAGATTAAACATTGATGAGTTACCATGGCAACAGATAATGACGACATTTGTAGATTTTTTCAAATTTCGTGCTTTTTCTTGTTTTTCCTTTATGTTTTGCGTATATTTTGGATAGAAACGTATGTATGCACAACAGAAACAACTTTGTATTATGGGAGATTAGATAAATAGCTATAATAAAGATTTTATATATTAGTTTGTTGTTTCTTGGCTGTGCACGATGTTTCCACAAATAAAAAATTGGTTTGACAATTGCATTAATTCAGCATTTTACTTCATTTTCTATAAAAAAAAAAGGGGGGGGGATAATATGACGTAATTATGTCTTAAAATCATAAATCTTGTGTAACTCATTTACATTTCTTGATCTTATGCATTTCCATACATTATGCATATTTGTTTTTCGTTCATTATTTTGTACATAAATTAGGCCGTTAGTTTTCTCGTTTGAATTGTTTTACATTGTCATTTCGGGGCCTTTTATAGCTGACTATGCGGTATGGGCTTTGCTCATTGTTGAAGGCCGTACGGTGACCTATTGTTGTTAATTTCTGTGTCATTTGGTCTCTTGTGGAGAGTTGTTTCATTGGCAATCATACTACATCTTCTTTTTATATTATGTACATATTTGGAAATTCATTTTCTTGGACAATAAACTTTAAACCGGTACTACGGGTCGATTTTTCTCTACTAGAAAGCCTATCCGTAATTTCAGATGAGAAACAGCAATCAAAGCGATCTTCCTTTATTTTTTTTAAAGCGTGTAGGGATTTTTCTACCAAGAATTTGATTGTGATGGAAGATCTTTGAAAGTCTTTGTCGATTTTATTCACAATATTTCTAGACTTGTGACAATTTAGGATACTAGTAATAGTCTATTGTTGAAGATTTTATGTTTTATGATTTTGTTTTGAAGCTGCCCCATTTGAGTTTCTTCACACATTTTGTATTATTAAAATACATGAAAAATGGGACGAAGTTAAACTTCTAGAGTTTGTTTGAACTTAATCTGACATGATTTGAAGTACTAGCATATAGTAGTCAATCGGCACAATAGACGAGTTTCCAATTTCGATTTTATGAATAAATTGCTCCAGCTGACCTGGGGTAGTTCGAAGTAAAGACGCGTCATGAACATTGTAATGTGAAGATATTTGCTTTGTGACGTCAAAGTTTTGCGGGGAAAAGCCCCTGTTGAAAGATCATGTATTATCTTATGTACATATTTTGACATCTAAAAGCAGGGTTCAAGTTCTTTAATATATATTTGGAAGGGCTGGCAATATATGAATATGGGTCTTATAAAGACTAATTAAATTTTATATTCATATGTTTAATATATTCGTTTTAATACTACCAATAGATCATTAAAACAGCAATTTGTTATAAGAAATATTCTGTAGTTCGCAGTACAGTGTAGTTTTTATTAACTTAATTATGTAAGGCATTTAGATATGAATATAATGTATCATAATGATGAAATATCAATTTTACCTTGCAGTAATTAATGCTGACCTTGAAGACAATCAGAAAAGATGGTTGATTATTGGTATTGGTATTCAGTTTGTTTTATCTCCAACTCTGCGAAAATATACGGAACCAGTTGTACGCAACTTGTATAATTCATTAAAACAGACGCATAGAATTCAAACACAAACATATCCAAAGCAACTTAAAAAATGCCAGAATTCCGGAAGAGAACTGAATTATGAAGCTATAAATAACAACCGTCTAATTCCACGTGTCCGTAGCAAATCAGATGTGGTTAAATTCGACTACAAAGTGATCAATCATGTAGACTTCTCAAAATTATTCTTGAAAACTTTTATGGCCCAGTACACGGCTTTTGATGACACGTGTGACTTATCGGCGCTCCTTGGGATAATCTTAAGCATTGATAAGTTTCCACAAACAGTACGGAATGTTGCGGCAAAGGTATGTAATTCTAGGGAAAGAATTTTGTCATTCATGTTGATTAGGGTCATATGTCAGACAGAAAAACTCACACAATGATATCCCCTCTCATGCATAAAGCAATGGAAACGTCTTTGATTGCTTAAGAAAACCAAAACCATTATTCAGATATAAGAATACAAATTTAAGAGGCGCAGAATTACATTATGTAGTTAAGATCCTGAGAAGTTTAAAGAAGAGGTTTTGGAGGAGTTTCAGACAAAATTGGTATCCCATAGCAAGATAAATCAATGGCAAAGTCTATGATTTGCCAAGGGAAACATAAAAAATAGTTTGGATAAAAAACACGAGGTGTACAATGTCATTTTAAGGCAAAATACTGAGTAATTTTCTTTATACGATGAGAAGCGAAAATAATTTAGTACTGTTATTACATTATCTGTACCAATTTTACTGCACATTTCGACAATTGATGTCTCTTCAGTGATGGTTGAGTTCAAACTTATCTGAAAACGCAAAACCTTATAAAAACGTTGAGGAGCTGATACATTGTAAAATATTAATATTGTAAATCGAGAAGTGGATTTAAATTATTTTCCGTTCAGTAACATACGTCTTACTCGAAAATTTGTTCGATTACAAGTATGCTTTATGTTGTCAATAATGGACAAGTTTCCTAATCATATTCCTTATACTGTAAATTCAAATGATGTTGTATTTTCATCTGCTATTAAAATCGTCAACATGACTGTATAGATCTAATTGAATGGTAATGTAGGTAATAAAGTGGCTATTTAAGTTCACAAATAATATGGTATAATTAAGAAAGTAACTGTAATTTGGAAAAAGTCGTCTCAAAATAGTTATAAGTATGAGACATAATGGATAAGCGACAGAACGTTAAAAGATTCAATTCGCTCTCCGGGCTCATAACAGAAAAACAAAGGATATGGGGTATCCATCTATGACACAAAATCAGTACATGCACAGCAAAAAACACACAAAAAGCAAAGGAACTGCGCTTTTATTGCTGTTCTTCGTCACAAAGTCACAGTGGTGCCTTCAACACGGAGCAAAAAAAAACTCTTACATCTTTGCAAGTTTAAAACGGTCCATAGCACCGTAGTATGGTACCTTTAAAACACACTAATGCTTATCTATTGTATCTCAAAAAAAGAATCATTTTCTCTAATGATTTAACGGAAATAGTGCAATGTTCCTAATGTATACAGCGGGAAATGTACACGAGACTTTAACCAACATGTGATTTATCAAAATTTATCAAAATGAAAATACGAAATTTGAAATTCACACTCATAATAGTTTTAATTACAGTTAAATAATTCATGAGTATAGGTCTTACTTAAATAAATGCTTTTAAGGTCCGTTCAGATGTGCGGAACCCATGGGCACATTGCAACTTTAATAAATGGGATTCACTCAAATATCAAACCGCATTCCAGTTGTTGCATCAACTAGTCGGATGTCTTCAGCTAAGTACAGCAGATGAAGCTGATATATTAGCAGAATTAACCAAATGGGAAGAAAATGGTATTTTTTTACATTTTATTGCATTAGACATATATCAAGTTATTTTTAATTCAAAAAATATTTAACTTATTTTGTAATTCAAAAAATATATAACTTATTATTAAGTTTTCATTGTTTAAAATGATATTACAAAATTTAGTATAAGATATATAGATTGCAATAATATATACTATTTTTAGTCTTTTTTTTTACGAAAGAACTAAATCATCATAGCTTTTTCTTTCATATAAAGTTTCATAAATGTAGCTAGTATTAAAATAAAAAAAGTGGTATGATTGCAAATGAGACCGCTAAGAAGTATATTCAGCTACTTTAATTTTCAAGAATTTTCAAGAATGTGTGCATTAATAATACTTAATTAACTATTACATCTGGGAGTTCGACTCAATTTTTAATCGAATAGGATTGCCAGTTTGTCTACCAAAGGTCGGTGATTCTATCCTGGCACTCCGGCTTCTAAAGCCAATATTACCATACCGCCATGATATACCAAAGAGTGCTGAACTGAAAGTGGCGGCAAGCACCAACAATCAACCTTAGTACATCTGGACTTTCACGAGTGTAAACAAAACAACGTTTCTTGAAAAAAACATGTTTATTTTTTTTTCGTGTGTTTAACAATAAAATTGAGAATGGAAATGGGGAATGTGTCAAAGAGACAACAACCCGACCATAGAACAGACAACAGCAGAAGGTCACCAACAGGTCTTCAATGCAGCGAGAAATTCCCGCACCCGGAGGCGTCCTTCAGCTGGCCCCTAAACAAATATATATACTAGTTCAGTGATAATGAACGCCATACTAAACTCCAAATTGTACACAAGAAACTAAAATTAAAAATAATACAAGACTAACAAAGGCTAGAGGCTCCTGACTTGGGACAGGCGCAAAAATGCGGCGGGGTTAAACATGTTTATGAGATCTCAACCCTCCCCCTATACCTCTAGCCAATGTAGAAAAGTAAACGCATAACAATACGCACATTAAAATTCAGTTCAAGAGAAGTCCGAGTCTGATGTCAGAAGATGTAACCAAAGAAAATAAACAAAATGACAATAATACATAAATAACAACAGACTACTAGCAGTTAACTGACATGCCAGCTCCAGACTTCAATTAAACTGATTGAAAGATTATGTCTTCATCATATGAATATCAGGTACAATCCTTCCCGTTAGGGGTTTAGTATCATACCATCATAACATATATGAGAAGAACATAACCCGTGTCATGCCAACAACTGTTTTTTTTTAAAATAAATGTGTTTAGTGCCGATGCAAAGACCCTATAAGTGAATCAATATTAACGCCAAAATATGCAATCTTTAATGACCTGACAACAGTATCGTAACTATATCCCTTCTTAATAAGTCTATTTAAAGGTTTTGTTATCTTCAGAGGTGAATACTGACATTTTTGTGCTTTATAAAGAATATTTCCATAAAAAATTGGATGTGAAATACCTGAACGTATAAGAAGTCTGCATGTTGAGCTATATTTACGAATGATGTCCTTAAACCGATGATAAAATTTAGTAAATGTTTTGACTAGTTTGTGATATCGAAAACCCTGGTGTAATAATTTTTCAGTAATACATAAATTTCTCTCGTTAAAATCTAAAACATTGTTACATACACGAGCGAATCGTACAAGTTGAGATATATAAACACCGTAAGATGGTGACAAGGGAACGTCACCATCTAAAAATGGATAATTAACGATGGGAAATGAAAAATCATCTCTTTTATCATATATTTTAGTATTAAGCTTTCCATTAATGATATAGATATCAAGATCGAGGAAAGGGCAGTGGTCATTGTTAGTATTAGCTTTATTTAAAGTAAGTTCAACAGGATAAATTTCTTTAGTATACATACTGAAGTCGTCATTATTGAGAGCCAAAATATCATCCAAATATCTAAAAGTATTATTAAATTTGTGTATCAGATGTTGTTTCGTTGCTTTGCTGATTTTTGTCATAAATTGTAACTCATAGCAATACAAAAAAAGGTCCGCAATAAGTGGTGCACAGTTAGTCCCCATTGGAATTCCGATAACCTGACGATATACGGAATCTCCTAAGCGAACAAAAATGTTATTTAGTAAAACTTCAAGGACATATATAGTTTCAAAGCATGTCCAATTGACATAGTTTTTTTGTTTATTGCTACTAAAAAATGACCTAAAAGAGTTTGAACATATATATTCACATTCTGACTTTTTAAATGCCCATTTAATTAGGTGTGTGAATTTTTTCTTAATGAGAATGTGAGGCAATGTGGTATATAGGGTAGAAAAATCAAAACTTTGAACAGATTCAAAATCACCAATATATGCATGTAATTTATCAAGTACTTCCAACGAGTTCTTGACACTCCAAAAGTAATTAATTCCACTATTTTCGAAGGCCTTATTTGAACAATTTATTATCAGGTTTTTGATTGTACCAAGTGTACTGGTAAGAAGAATAGACAATTTAGTAGTGGAACAATGGCTTGAAGACGAAATGAATCTATATTTGTAAGGTGTTTTGTGTAGCTTCGGAAGCCAATACATAGTTGGGACTTTCATTGTATTTGGTTCTGCTTGTAAAGCGGTAGCTAAAAGTTTATGTTTGTTACAGATGTCGTTTTCTGAAAATGGAGTCAGTTGGAATGTTGGTGAATTGGTGATTTCTTTTTTCAGAACCTCAATGTAAAATTTACGTCAAACAATAATAATATTATTAGCAGCTTTATCGGCCGGGACAAAAACAAATTCCTTGGCTAGTTCTTTTAGTTTATGTTTGATACGAGAAATAGGTTTATTGTGGTTATTGTTAAGAGTAAAATGTTCTTTAAAATGTTGAATACGTATATCAACTATGTTCATTACTGAATTAAAAAAAGAGTCCAAAGATTTTTTGTCAGCTTTTTCCCGTTTTATCCATTTCAAACAGTAAGTATGGAGTGAGTCGTGGATGATATTACGACACTCATTCCAATTAATAATTGACGGGGGACGATATTTAGGTCCTTTACTGAGGAATGATTTTAACTCTCGGTCTTGAACGATGTTAAGATCTCCTGTTATAACATGGGAAATGGGTCCATAAATGTATTCGGAATTACTGCAATTACATGAAGTAGGTGTATTTTCACTGATATTAAAATCTTTACACAATTGGCTATAATTAAACACAAATTTCCGGGTAGATTTCTTGTAAATATAACAAATAAGAGGGAGCTCAGTATTATCAAAATATCCCGGAATTTGTTCTTTAACAGAATGGTCGTTAAAAATACCGGCAATATTTACAAAATCAAAACCTTTATTGACATACTTTATTTTAATAAACTGTTTTTTATGATCTTCAGGGCGATCAATTTTGGGAAACAGTTTAGAATAACAATATGCCATTATAATTTGAACGATTTCATACTTAGGACTGCTATATGAAATTGTGTTGCAATCCTCTAAAATTTATGTTTCTAATATAACCTATACCAGATACGCTCCAGGCTTGTTGAACCAAAAGTTAAGTTGGAATAGCCAAAATAAATTGTTAATTGCTGAGAATACATACAAAATACATGAGATTGTGAATTTTATATAAGATTTATGTAGTGCTGTCACAAGAGTAGGCCTTGGAAACTCCAAAATTTTCCTCTTGTTTAATTTTTCTTATATTTACACCATTGAAATAGTAGGGGTCCATGCATCACATGCCAAAGTCTTGTTGAAATTCGACGTCGAATATGACCAGTTTTGGGGTACCCTAAAAAACGTCCGAAAACACTAGTAGGCATATATTATTGTGGTTTTTTTTGCACATGTTTTCATTAGGAATACCCATTACTGTAAAAAAATGCTAAGTAGAAACATATTTTAAAGTAAATCTGAAATGTCATGTTAATTTTTGTAGCCTGAATGTAAATAAATGGTTTAAAAGTATTGATAAAGCTCAGATGATAACACATTTATCTTTCAAACTTTGCCAGAAAACAAAATTATTCCTTCAAAAATATTGCCAAAACAATTATTGTTTATAAAAAAAAAATATTAACAAACTTTTATTTGAATTTGACCGTTTGAAATTTTCAAAATCTTCAAACTAGTTGGCTTACAGGCACAAGACAAAAAAAGGAAACTTTTGGGCGAAATTAATTAATTTTCCCCCTACAAAACCTTTTACAGTTTTTTTGCATTATTTTTATGTGCTTAAGTGAAAATTGTACTGTCCCAATAATAGTTGTAGTCAAGTTTATAAGGAAAAACAGTAATATTCAGTATGGGACGAATACCCTTGGGACGAATTGACATATCAACATTAAAATACATAATGTTGGTTTCTCTCCCCAGACTACAAAACGCCTCTGTCATCAGTAAGCAGACGCTATTAAAATTCAATGTTTTGACAGTCGATCATTATCTGAGTACTATCGTTGTGCTTAATGTAGATTATCTGTCAGCATTAGCTTGTACTAGGATGGATGTTCAGATCATATCTTCTAGAATATTGCCGTTTATATTTAAAAACCAAAGACATACAGTTAAGTACAGCCTATCAACCAACAGCTTAGCACTAAAACCTTATAACTTCATTATTCAATCTATTTTTTTCCAATTCAATTTTTCCCAAACCTTCCAAGATCTTATCTATATGATGTCAAAACACTATAGTTTCTCCAAAAACTCCTCAGTGCATAGGTGTTTTTAAAGCATTTCATGTATGAATGGTAATTGTCCTCCTTTTCAGCTTTTGATTATTGAAGCTTTAAAAAATGTAGTTCCTTATTATAATGCTTGGTGGCGTCTAACTTGTCCAATTTTCCTAGATCTTCCTGCATCATTCTCAAAGCCAAATGTAAACAACATAAATGCCTGATCACTGTTTCTATTACTTCTAGGTTAAAACGCACACATGACTTCCAATACATTTGTAAGAATTGTCTCTTATACACAAGATCTACCCCCTTAATGAGCCTATATATTGTACGTTCTGGCGGATTATCATTTCGA